CAAATACTTCCCTTGGTACAAATACACACACACACACATACACCTCAAAGAAAAAAATCTGTGTTTGGCTGTGGCATAATTTCTTTAAACAGTTCCATATATATGATTACTTAATATGATGTAATGTTTCAAATATGGCCACAGTTCCATCCTTCCCGGCACCAGACTGTAAAATATGATTTCAGTGTTTTTCATCAAGAGATGAAGTCTAAGGCTGGTCCACACTTGGGAGGCTGAGGCAGAAGGATAGAAATTTCAGGGACTCCAGGACTACACAGCAAGCTCAAGGTCAACCTGAGAAACTTAGTGAGTTGTCTCAAAGTAAAAGAAGCAAAAAAAGAAGAACATAAGCTGGAGAGATGGCTTCGAGGTTAAGAGCACTTGCCATTCTTCCATAGGACCCAGGTTCAATTCCCAGTACACACAAGGTGGCTAACAACCATGTATGTTACACATACATATACATGTAGACAAACACTCTTTGCTTTGTTTTGTTTTGTTTTTTAGAGACAGGGTTTCTCTGTGTAACTGCTCCAGCTGTCCTGGAGCTCTTTCTCTCTGTAGACCTGGCTGGCCTTGTTTTATGTGTATAAGTGTCTAATCTGCATGCATGTCTATGTTGGGTGCCTACATCAATCAGAAGAAGGTATCAGATTCCCCAGAACCTACCACATGGGTGCTGGGAGTTGAACTATGGTCTTTTGGAAGGGCAGCAATGCTCTTAACCACTCACTAAGACACTTTCCCAGGCCTGACAGAACACTTTCTTTTACACATGAATTAAAGTAAAAAAGTTTAAAATATATATATATATATATGTGCATATATATATATATATATATATATATATATATATATATATATATATATGGGAGATGTCTATATCCAGTCTTCTTGAATCTGAGATGGCTAGTGTCACATGACTAGTTTTTATCAATAGATAACTCGACAGCATTCCCCTGCCTCAGCCTGAAGAAGAACTCAACTCTAATGGCAAAGGCTAGAAGGCAAGTTCTACCTGTGATCTTCCTGGCTCTCAGTTTTCACATCAGCACAATGGGATAGTTTTGGTTTCTACCTTGTCTTACTATAGGAGGATTAAATGTGAAAATGAGCATTCTGCACACAGCATGAAGCAATCAATTTCAACTTCTTTTTTTAAAAAATATGTCTGAGTGTTTTACTTGCATGTATGTTTATGTACCACAAAGGGCACAGGGTCTCCTGGAACTAGGATACCAGATGGCTGTGAGGCACCACATGGGTGCTGGGAATCAAACCCAGGTCCTCTGCAAGAACAAGTGCTCTTAACCACTAATTCATCTCTCCAGCCCCTCATTTTTTTTTTTTTTCCTTTTTATTTGGGAAGAGAGAGTCTGGTTTCACGTAGCTCAGACCAGACTGGAAATTCGCTGTACAACTGAGGATGACCTTGAACTTCTAATCTACTTCCTAAGTGCTGAGGGTATAAGACTGCACTAAACACTTGGCGTTTGTTCCCCAGACTTAGTGTTTGTGTGTGGATGCCTATGCATGTGTGCTTATGCTTGTTTATAGGGGTCATAGGTCAACCTCAAGTGTTGTTTGTCAGGTACCACCTTGGTTTTTGAGACAGTGTTTTACTTGGCCTGGTACTCATCAAATAGTTTAGGCTGGCTGGTCTTTAAGTCCCAGAGATGCACCTGTCTTTGCCTGCTCAGTGCTGGCATTACAATTCTCTGTTGCCACATTGGATTTTTTCCCCCTCTAGGTCCTTTGGATCAAACTCAGGTCCTCATATTTGGAAGGCATGTACTTTTCCTTCTATGCTAGGTCTCCAGCTCTCTTTTCCCTCTTTTTGTGGTTCTTTGCAGTCGTTGCTATGACAATTGCCAATTGTCAAGACATTAGACAGTGTGCCATTTAGCATGTAGATGAAATCCTAATGAAGTTGGAGGTAGTCTGGCAGTAACCCTGGCAGCCTTCTTAGATGAAATAATTTTGACCAATCTACTTGAGGATCTTTTGGTTTCTGGCATCCTTGTCCTCAAAGGTAAACAAGATCCATCTAATAGAAATCTTGGAGGTCTGGAGGACTTGCTGCCAAGATTGACAACCTGAGTTCCATCCTCATGCCCTATACAGTGGAGGGAAAAGCAGACTCCCCCAAATTGTTCTCTGATCCCCATACACACACACACACACACACACACACACACACACACCGTTTGTTGGTTTTTTTGAGACAGGGTTTCTTTGTGTAGACTTGGGTGTCCTGGAACTAGCTCTGTAGACCAGGCAGGCCTCCAACTCACTGCATTCTGCCTGCCACTGCCTCCCAAGTGCTAGGATTAAAGGCATGTGACTCTATCACCTGCTGAATTAAAAAAAAAAAAAAAAAGCAATCCTGGTAGTTGAGCCTGTTGTGAGGGTCATATATAAGAATCATCAAGGGTTTATAGTTCTGTGCTACCACATCTGGAGTTTTCCCCCCTCTGGGCTAAAAGTATGGTAAGATATTTGAAAAAAAAATTGGGGGTGGGGGAAGGGGGGCTGGATAGATGATTCAGCATTTTAAAGCACTGGCTACTTTTGCAGAGGACTCAGGTCTGGTGACTCAAAACTGGCTGTAACTCCAATTCTGGGGGATCCTGATGCCTGTCCTCTCTGGCCTTTGTAATTACCTGCACAAACATAAATATGGTATACACATCCACACAACACTACATTAGATACATAAAAACTCAGGCCACCTAGGCACTGCTCAGGTCAACACTACCATCAGAGAGGCAAGTGTACTAAGCCCAGGAAGACCTCCACTTCATTCAGCTTCCTCAAAATGGCCCAGTGTCCTGTCCTCTTTCTCCCCATATTCTCAACTCCTTTCTTCCTTAGTCATCGTGTGTCAGCTACTATGGCCGCCTTTAAATGTAGCAAGCTCTTTCCTGTCCTGGGACCTCTGTACCTACTTTTCCTTCCCAGAGGGAGCTTCTGCGCTCCTCGATACTTCAGAACCACTTAACATTTTCCTTCATAGCACTTAGGGCTATCTAAAGCTTTAAATCTAGTCCACATCTATTTTTCTTCATAGCATCTATCTATCTATCATCTATTTATCTATCATCTATCTATCTATTTTGAGACAGAATCTGATTCATCTCAGGCTGGACTCACACTCACTAATCCTAAATGCTGGGATTGGAGTCAAGGGTCACCAGGCTCAGTTTATGAAGATTGTGGGAATTGAACTGAGAGTTTAGTGCATCCTAGGCAAACACTGTACCAGCTGAGCTACATCCCTAGACACAGCCCTCTGGTTTGCTTGTGACTGGTCTCACCAACCTCAGGCTGCCCTCAAACTCCTGATTTTCCTGCCTCTACCTCCCACTTCAGGCATGTGTCACCATGCCCAGCTGGGTAACCTTGAGATCATTGAGTTTAACCACTTCAGTTCACAGATGGGAAAACTGAGGCCCAGGGAAGAGAATGGCTACAGATTGCACAGATTGCAGACACCCAGATAATTGTGGATAATCAGACAATTGGGAGAAAATATCATAGACCTGCTGGGAGAGGTCCAGAAAAGGTACCTGGCCCCTCTCTAAAGCCATCACTACTTATCTGCAAGCCATCATTATTCCCATTTCATGGTGGGGGCAGGAGTGTCCCTTTGGGAGCAGTGCCAGTCAGCTGACAAACTGTGAAAGGAGGGCTGGAGAGGGTAGAAAGCCTATCCCTGAAACAGACAGTTATTCTGAGGCAGCTGGGGATAATGGCTGGTACAGAAATAACCCAGCCTCCTCACCCTTGTTTCAGCCCTCACACCTCTGCCCTGCCAGAGGTGAGGCTAACATTCAATAGCGTTCAGCAGCACTCACATACACACCAGCTTCTGTCTATTTGGGGGTTCACAGTCTATTGCAGGGGGTTGGCTAGGGACCTCAGGCTACGAAGTGATGGTCCCTGGGTTTGGGAGCTCAAGAGTGTAGTTCCTCAGAAGAAAAGAAACCCCTTGAATAAATTCGACAAATGGCATACAAGTTATCCAGCCCACAAAGTAATTGTAACACAGTTCAAAGAGAGGAAAGCAACACAGTCTCAGTGAATGGAAACATTAGGGATTTTAGAGAAGGCAAGAAGCTAAAAAGGGGTTTGACCAAGTTTTTTTGTTTTTTTTTTTTTTTTGTTTTGTTTTCTTTTCTTTTCTTTTCTTTTTAGTCCGGGGCGGGGGCAGGTATTGAATATAAAGCCAAGTTCGGTGCACAAGAGAATTCTGAAACTCCACTGGAGAATTTTGAGCAAAAGGAGAATATACTCCAGTATGAATAGCAGAAAGAGCTCTGTGCCTGTTTGGAGAAGGAAACACGTGCAAATGGAGTGAGGATGAGGATAGATTGAAAGGCAGAGAACTCTATTCTGAATAGGCAGCTCTGGGTAGGATTCCATAGAAAGAACAGGGCCTTGTTTTCTAGAGGATTATTACCATCTTTCCTAGATCCTGGACTGTAGAATCTAGAGTCATGCCCCCATAGGCATCCAACTTTCGTTAGTCTAAACTCCAAGTTTGAGGTGAAAAAAAAGTGCTGCTGGAAACCTAAACCTAGACCTGGGTCCGGGCAGGAGACTTCAGTTCCCATGATGCTTTGCTCTCCTGCACGGAAGGTTGCGCATGCTTCTTTGAAGTAAGGGACTGGCCGGCTAGTCGTTCTCTCACTAGGCTTAGTGCGGGAAACCTAATGTAACGCCATCTTCAGCTGGGTTCGTATCCTTGATGGAACGCTCATGTTTGGTCTAGCCACCTATTACAGGTTCTGACTGAAATGAGCTTCTCTTTAGAATTCTCAGTACTAAGCTTTACGAGTCTGCTTTACGATGAGAATTCCCAGTTCATCTCCCCAGTCCATTACCGAACGTCCCCGGACGACTAAGGGCAACCGGCATGGCTGTACCCTCCGAGAGCTGGGAGGCTCCACCCTTTCCGGCTCCGCCCCGCCTCTGGTGGGAGGGGGCTTCCGCTTCCGGCATTGGCGGCTATAGCCTCGCTCTGGTCCCTGCGGCTGGCGGCCGAGCCGTGAGTCTCCTCCTCCGCCGCCGCCATATTGTCTGTGTGAGGAGAGGAGAGCGCGGCTCCTGCCGCTGCCGCTTCCACCGCAGGTACCGTGGGAGCCGCGGGCCGAGGTCATCGGGGCGCGCGGGTGCGCCCAGGCCAAGGCGGCAGGGCGAGGCCGCCTTGCACGCTCTCAACCTCCCAGGCGGCCTGTCGCCTTCCCCTGCCCCCCTCGCCGCACACAGCAGCCGAGGCCCCTGCAGTCCATCCCGGACGCTCGCGGCCGCCCCGCAGGGCGCAGAGTGAGGCGGAGGGATCGGCCGGCGTGAGGGTGGGGAGCTGGCTGTCAGACTCCTGGATCTTGCAGGAGTGAGGCTGGACTGGGCGGAGACTAAGGGACAACTTGGAGGTGGGGTGGCGGAAGGGGGAAGGGAGCTGGGGGGCGCGCGCGGGTGCTGTGGAAGCGCACGGAGGGATTGGGGCCTCCTGGGCTGAGTGGCGTGGATCCCTAACGCCGCGCGGGACAGCAGAGAGAGGGGCCTCCCTATGGTTCCTCTGGGCGGGGCTGAACTTACTACCTGCTGACCTGGTGTAAGGTGGAGGGGGCTCAGGGCGGGGTTGTTGGTGTAGAAGGGCGAGGGAAGCATGAATTGGGGGCGAGCGGATGGATTTGGGCTTGGCAGCCTAGGTGGAGGAGGAGAGGTGTGTAGAAGGAGCAAGGTTGGTTAAGAGTTTACATGTCAGTGACCTTTTGAAAGAAGAGTACTTTCGAATTTGTTTCTTTGATTTTTGCAGTGTTGGAACAGATCTAGATTAGACTGGTGATGGGTGAAACTTTTGGAGTTTGTTTTGGGGAAGCAAAGTCAGAGTTGGGAGAATCGCCGCCTAGTCTTTGCTTTTGGGAGGAAGAAAGTGTTCTGAAAAGTTGACAGGTTATTTGGGGAAGAATTGATTCTCTTGTAACTGGTAAATTCTTTTGGAAAGAGCCTAGAGGAGAAAAAGTGAAAACCAAGTAGGAAGGGAAGCTACACCACCACCCCCTCACCCCGCGCCCCAGTTGTTGAAGACTTCATTTTGTCAAATAACTGGCCATACAGGCCAGTGGCAATGAACTACACTTCCCCCAGGTTCTCAAATATCAGAACTTAGCTGTGTGACCTAAACTCTGTAAGCTTTGTTTTCCTACTTGTAAGAAGGTGGTATCTCCTAGCTTGTAAGTTTATGTTGAAGAGTGCCTGAGATAGTTTGTATCAAGCATTTACTAGACTATGTAGCAGTAAGTGCTCAGTAGACCTGACTTGTTACTAAAGGGACTAGTTAATATGTTTGGAATTTCTTCCATCAGAGTACAGTTTATTGTTAGGGATCACTTCAGCAATCATGTTTGTAGTTATTACACATCAGTTGATTATAATTGTTTAGTAGACCTGAGGCTAAAAGTCCAGGACAAATACTAACTTCCCTATATTGAAAAGTTCACCTGCAGCAGTCCTACCAGGGCAAGTTTGTCCATCCTTGATTTTGAAATATTTGGCTTTAGTTTGTTATTGGAGGAGGATGTGTAACTTCAAGAAAGAAGGAAAGGGTTGGATATTTACTTAGATTGGTATTATTAATAGTTGCAAAGTTAGGTTACTCTTTGGCAACTTTTCTTTGAAACAAACTAAGCACACTATACCTGCTTTATTTTGGCTTTTAATGGAAAGCAAGAACAGAAAGTCAAGTACTCAGGGAGGAATGGTGGACCAGCTTCTGGGTTACCTGGAAGTTGGGACTTAATGAAGTAGGTGGTAACATTTCCAGGAAGTGCTTTTGATTCTCCCACTCTTTGTTGCTGTCTGCTTGCTTTTGTATTTTGAAACAAGGTCTCATTCTGTAGCCCAGGATGGTCTTGGGTTCTCCTGCCTCAGCCTGCAAAAGTAAAGTAATTAACACATCCAGCTTCTTGGTCAGCACTGAGGAGGCAGAGACAAGCAGATCTCTGAATTTGAGGACTGCCTGGTTTACAGATCTAGTTTTAGGGTAGCCAGGGCTAGGGCTACACAGAGAAACCCTGTCTCCAAAAACACAAAAATCTGTCTATATCTGTATGGGGATATGATATGTGTGTGCACATGAGTCCTGGTGGCCAAGGAGGCCAGAAGAGGATTGGAAACTTTGACGCTGGAATTTTTGAGCTGTCTAGCATGGGTGGTGGGAATTGAACTTTCATCCTCTACAAGAGCAATACTCATTCTTAGCTGCTAGGCTATGTCTACCTTATTCTTTGCTTTCCTTTTTGTTTGTTTGTTTATTTATTTATTTATTTATTGTTTTGTTTTCAAGACTGGGTTGCTCTGTGTAGCTTTGGCTGTCCTGGAACTCTCTGTAGACCAGGCTGGCCTTGAACTTGGAGATCTGCCTGCCTCTGCCTCCCGAGCACTAGCATTAAAGGTGTGTGCCACCACCCAGCATTTTATTTTACAGAGACAGTATTTCACTAAATCTGGAATTCCATGATTTAGCTGGACAAGCTGTCCAGCCAACCCCAAGGATCCTCATGTTTCTACCTTCTATCTATGCTGGGATTTCTGTACCTAACTTCTTATGTTGATGCTGAGGATTGAATTTAGGTCTTTATGCTTTTATAGCAAACACTTTACCAACATGGTACCTCCCCAGTTCTCAACATAACATTTTTACATCTTACAGTCACTTAAAGACACGGAAGACGTTCTTAGAAATTGGATTTAAACCAGGTAGTGGTGGTACATGCCTTTAATCCCAGCATTTGGGTGGCAGAGCAGACGGTTCTCTTGAGTTTAAAGCCAGTCTGGTGTATAAAGTGAGTTCTTGGATAGTCAGTGCTACACAGAGAAACCTTGTCTTGGGATGGAAAAAAAGGGGGAGGGGGAGAAAGAGGGAAAAGAAATTGAATTTAAAGCCTTAACATGGGGCAGGTGATACTCTACTGTTGTGTGCCCATGTTTTGATATACACTATCTGTAAAAATACTGTTATATAGTAGAAAAGAACTTTGCAGGTATAGTTAATGTTAAGACTGAAAGGTTTTATTTTAAATTATATGCATGTGGGTACCCAAAGGTTTTGAGTCCCCTGGAGTTAGAGTTACAAGCTGTTGTAAACTGCCTTGTTGGGGCAGGGGTGCTAGGAATGGAACTTAGGTCCTATGGAAGAGCAGTACCCACAGAGCCACCTCTTCAACCCCCAAAATCACAGAGATCCTCCTGTCTCTGCCTCCCCAGTGCTGGGATAAAAGGCCTTTGCCACCAGGGCCCAGCTATTTTTTTTTTAGATTATTTATTTATTATGTATACAGTGTTCTGTCTGCATGTATTCCTGCAGGCCAGGAGAAGGCACCAGACCTCATTACAAATGGTTGTGAGCCACCATGTGTTTGCTGGGAATTGGACTCAGGACCTCTGAGCCATCTCTCAAGCCCCCTCCCTCAGAATCTTAAAATAGGAAATTAATATGGATCCTGGCTTAGTCACAGATTGATTACAAGAGCACTTAAAATCAGAGTACTTTTTCTAGCTGGATTAGATGGTGGATGGGAAAATCAGACATTTAAAGTATGAAAGGGACTGTATTAGGTGCATTTAGAGAAGGTTGCAAAGAGAATATGGGAAGGAATGTGGATAGCCTCTAGTATCTGACAGTAAGGAAATGGAGACCTCAGTCCTACAACCACAAGAAACTAAATGCTAACATACTAATGGACTTAAAAGTAGAATCCTCTCCAGAGTTCTCAGCAAGCAAAATGGCTTTGCAGATAACTTTATTTTGGCCTTGAGCCCCTGACCTAGCCAGGCTTACCCAATTTATAATCCATAGAAAATATAACATAACAAGTTTATGATGATGTTTTTTGGTTGTGAGCCTAGCCTTTAACAGCTGAGCCATCTCTCTAGGCCAGTTTGTGATGATGTAAGTCACCACATCAATGGTAATATGGTAGCAGAACACTAGAATAGATTTTGGTACCAGGAGTAGGGTGTACTGTTACCTAAACATAGAAGTGGTAGTGGGTGGAGGCTGGAAGAATTTTGAAGAGTATGATAGAAAAGACCTAGAACAGATTGTTAGTAGGAATGTGGATGTTAATGACTTCACTAGTGAAGACTGAGATAGGAGTGAATTACACCTTGACAAGAGCTGAGCAGAAATTGTATCTTGTACTTTTGTGGAAGGCAGAGTTTACAAGTTTATTTGCAAATAAACTTAGATTTTTTTGTGTGTGTGGGGGCAGGGGCCAAGATAGGGCTTTTCTGGGTAGCTTTGGAGCCTGGCCTGGAAGTAGTTCTTGTAGACCAGGCTGGTCTTGAACTCACAGAAGTCTGCCTGCTTCTACCTCAAGTGCTGAGACTAAAGGTTTGTGCCACCACCATCCAGCTTGATTTTTTTTTTTTTTTTAAGCTTGGATATTCTAGTAAAATGATAAAGGTGAACCTTTAATTGTGAATATCTTTGTAAGGGAGTGAAATTAATGAAAGCCTTATTACATTCTTGATAATTTTATGCCTATAGGAACAATGCTAGTGTCCACTGGAAGAAGTAGGGAAAAATTCGGGATGATTGTTGAACTAGTGCTTCTTTCCATATAGAGGGGTGTGCATCAGCTCACACCTCTCAAGTGGAGCCAAGAGCTTAGAGGATTGGAACACAAAAGCAACAGAGGCTTTTCTTTGCATAGGAAATGGAGTGGATTTTGGAGTTTCTTTGGGTGTATTTCTTCTTATATTTGTGTCCCAAATGTCTTAGTTAGTTTTTTGTAACCCAGAACATCTTATACCTAAATTAAATGATGAGATTTTGTTGTTGATTTTTTTTTTGTTGTTGTTGTTGTTGTGAGGTAGGATTTTTTCACATATCCATTGCTAGCCTGAAACACATTGGCTTACAAGACCACCTGTCTCTGCCTCCCAAATGCTGGCATTATAGCGTATACCAACACTCCTGACTGACATTTAGGTTTTTTTTTTTTAAGCCTGGAAGTATTAGATGAGACTTTTGGACTTCGGGTTGATTGATGATGTAGTGGTTTGAGATTTTTGGGGACTCAGTATAGGATGAATGTGTTTTGTGGGTGGGGGAATGTAAATCT